GCGATGACTGCGGGAAAGACACCAGCGGAGTGGAGAACGGGTGTTATTGTACCCGTATTCAAGAAGGGAGCTCACAATGAATGCTCCAATTTTAGGGGCATACCGTCATTGAGCCTCCAAGGTAAAGTCTACGCAAAGTGTTGGAAAGGTGGTGCTGTGAAATAGTTGACCTCAGGATAGAAGAGGAGCAGTGTGGCTTCCGGCCCGGTTGAAGCACCTCTGTCAGTGCTTCCGACGTTTCCGATCCTCTGCCATAGTCTGTGCTTCTGCAAGAGGCAAGTGAAGTGTCGAACAGACTCCTTCCATATATTTGCACCAGGTTAACCTTAGTCGTCCCCTGTGTCTTGTGCCGGTCGGATTTGCAGATAACAGTTGCTAAACCTTCCTTTCTGGAGGCATTGTCAATCCATGCCCAAGCCATCGCAGCTGTGACTTTTCAATCTAGAAAAGCAAAGGCTCTATAACAAGGCTCTTCTGGATATCAATAGTCCGGACGATGTCCAGACGCGTATGGCCAGCGGCTTGTCTAAGAAAGAACATTTCATCCGGTTATAACCCGGTTAGAAGTTTTTCGGTGATGGTCAACGATTCATGACCGTAGGTGGGCATGGGGATAAAGATCGACTTGAACACCACGAGCAACGTTTTCACTCTGAGCTTTGCTTTAGTGACAATGGGTCGGACTAGTTCATGCGGAACGCCACTGGCTACTCCAATTCGTCGGTCGATCTCTTCCTCCAATTTTCCATCACTAGTAGATACGATTCTGAGATGCTTTAACTTCTCCACCTTTTCCACTGTCTCTCCGTTAATCTGAAGAGAGCAACGGGCAGGAGAACGAGAAAGCACTTGGCTTTTCGTTTTAGATACGTTCACACGCATGCCGGTCACGTCGCATTCAGCTGCGAACCTTCCTAAGGAGCACTGAAGACCAGTTTCAGAAGATGCTAATAAAACAAGGTCGCCTGCAAACAGCAACCTTCTCAACTTCACATCTCCTACACCTTTACGCTCATCGCCTTGTCAGCTCCTGACTATTCAATCCATGTACAACAGAGACTGGATATAGGGGAGAACACAGCCTCAGCGGAGACCAGGACGAACGTTGAATGGTTTCGACTTTGCGCCATTAACTGTGACGCAGCAACTGCTATCAGAATACAGCGATTGCATAACCGTTACAGCTGGCCGTTTATCCAGTATGCACGAAGGCATGTCCACAGACTGTTGCGTGGAATCCGGTCATGCGCTTTTTCTTGGTAAACAAAACATCTACACTGGACGGGCGTACTCCCAAGATTTCTCGGCAATCTGGCCAATGACAAATATATAGTCAGAGGTGCTTTGACCGGATCGGAAGCCGCACTGCTCTTTTTGTGTCTCGGAGTCAGTTATTTCGCAGCACCTATGGGGTAGACTTTATCTGGAAGGCTCAGTAACGTTATGCCCATATAATTGGAGCATCCCATGTGGTCTCCCTTCTTGAACAGAGGTGCAGCAATCACCGTTCTCCAGTCCGCTTGTGTCTTTCCCGTAGTCGTTGCAGTTTCACAGAAACGTGTTAGCCAACATATGCCTTGTTTGCCTAATGGATTCAGCATTTCAGGGCGGATTTCATCAGTTGCCGTAGCCTTTTCCTTTTTCAAGCTTTTCACAGTTTGTGTAAATTTATTTACAGAGACAGTAATATCCGTTCCCCGCTGCTCTACAAGGTAGTCTTCCTCTGGTTGCGCGGGGTTAAAAAGTTCTTCACAGTACTCCCTCCATCGCTAAAAAGTGTCATCGTCCTTGGTGAGAGGTTGTTTAGATTTGTCCTTCAAGACTCTTAGACTGCGTTTACTTTCATCTCGGAGCCGGCTAGTGGTCTGCCAGATTACCTTGTTTGCAGTTGGGAAATTCGACTCCAACACATCAGCGAACTTCTCACACAAATCAGCTTTGGATTTCGCCCCTCGTTTCGCTTCCGTCTTGCCTGCAGACGCTAGTAGAAGGCTCTTTGATTAAAAGCCATTTCTTGAACGCTGCCATTTTCTCTTTAACTTCCAGTTGTACCTCTCGTATTCACAATGAAGATCTTTTCTGACCTCAAGGCGGCATGTTAACCCGTTTAATTCTGCAGAATTCAACGGCAGCCTGGAGTATGCCGCTCTTAAAGAGCTGACACTCGGTTTCAGCATGAGTTGTCATCACCGGATTCTGTTCAAGCCGTCGTGCGATGTTTGCGAATTTCGCTCTCTCGTCCAATCAAAGACAATGCTTCCCATTTGATTCTCCGGTTGCTTCTGCCACGAGATCTTCGTATGGTACTCCATTTCTTACAGCGCAGCGTGCCAGCAACAAGGTGGTGATCGGTTGATAGCTCTGCGCT